GAACATTGTGCTTTAGGCTAGCAGCAGGCTTCATTTGAAAACGAAGCTAACTCTTTGTTAAATGACAACCCATTTGTACAACTACTTAAAGGTAAAAAAAAGATTTAAAAAAAAAAATAAAGCCAACTGTAGTTGGAGTAGCTGAGACTTATATGGCACATACAAAAAGGAATACAAGGAGGGAAGGGAAGGTGGCTCAGTGGTAGAGTGCTTGCCTTGCATGCATGAGGCCCTGGGTTCAATTCCTAAGCAAAAAAAGCCAGAAGTGGTGCTGTGGCTCAAGTGGTAGAGCACTAGCCTTGAGCTGAAGAGCTGATGGACAGTGCCCAGCCCAGAGTTCAAGCATCATGAACAAGAAAATAAGAAAAAGAAAAGAAAAATGAAGCATAGTGAACAGCCAGGAATTCTGAAACAAACACTATTATTTGACAATCTACTTTGGCTTCATCTCTATACTCCTTCATAAGCTACAGTATTTGTATAAGGAAAATGAAAAGAAAAAGAGCAGCTTTCCCCATCTGACCTTGCCTTCTGGCCCAAAATAATTAGCAAGGTCATCGTAAAGAAAGACATTTATCACAGAAAAGCAAATACCTGGAAAAATGATTCCAAGCAACAAGTACTTATCTTAAAGAAGAACATCTGTCTTGAAATGCGTATGGCGGAGAGCAAGTGGATGAATGGGAAGAAAGAAAGAAGACAAACACTTCAACAGATCAGATCAGATTTAATCATTGCTGTAGAGGGTTGCCAAGTAACACTGGACAGAGATACAAGGGGGCGTAGAAAGTGGGGCTCCAGGATTTCAGTATCAGGCAGTTTGGACAAAAGTTCCTTCCGGACAATGCATACTTTCAGACAGGGTCCAGGTGAGGTTTTTCTGAGAATTTCTCCAAGTCAGGAACTTCTGAAAATGGCCCTGGAAGCGGGGGCAGGTGTCAAGTGAGCCTTGAAGGAGGCATTGGGTTATGAGAACCATGCAGATTCCCATCACCGAAACAATGATCAAAGTTTAATGAGGAGGCCAGTCTTAGAGCCCCCAAACACAGATGATGAAAGCATAATACCAAGAGTGATTAAATGGCCGGGCGCTGGTGGCTCACGCCTGTAAGCCTAGCTACTCAGGAGGCTGAGATCTGAGGATCACAATCCAAAGCCAGCCTAGGCAGTAAAGTCCATGAGACTCCTATCTCCAATTAACCACCAGGAAACCAGAAGTGGCGCTATGGCTCAAGTGGTAAAATACTAGCCTTGAGCTGAAGAGCTGAGGCACAGCACCCAAGCCCAGAATTCAAGCCCCATGACCAAAAAAAAAAAAAGTGATTAAATGGGGAGAGGGAAATATGGGGGGGGGATAGTAAATAGTTTAAAAAAAGTGATTAAGGGGTTGGGAAGGTGGCTCAGTGGTAGAGCGCTTGCCTTGCATGCATGAGGCCCTGGGTTCGAGTCCTCAGCACCACATAAGCAGGAAAAAAAAAGCCGGAAGTGGCGCTGTGGCTCAAGTGGTAGAGGGCTAGCCTTGAGCTGAAGAGCTGAGGGACAGCGCCCAGGCCCAGAGTTCAGGCCCAGAGTTCAGGCCCCACGACCGGACTCCTCAAAAACAAAAAAGTGATTAAATGTGTAAGAACAAAGAAAAACACATTTAAAAATAACCTTAAGTCCAACCCTGCCTTTATCATAGGTAGCCCTGATGGGCGAGCTGTGTGTCTCCCTTTGCACACCCACACTCATCCGTTAGTGTGTGCCTGTGCCTTTCTGCTTGCCTGCTTGCTCACTCAATAAAACTCTGCCAAGTTTTCTTACCATTGTGACTTGTCTGGAAATTCTTATTTTGCAAACAAAATCAAAGACTGATACTGAAAACTCAAGTGGAGGGTCCCTATGTCTCAAACCAGTAACAGGAGGATCATGAGTCTGAAGTTGCCTGGGCTACTCAGCAAGACCCCATCTCAGAGAGAGAGAGAGAAAGAGAGAGAGAGGCAGACAGACAGACAGACAGATAGACAGACAGACAGACACAGACACAGACAGAGAGACCAGGGAAATAGGAAATTAGAATAGCACATTAAATAAATAACCTTGGGGCCAGATGCCAGTGACTCACGTCTGCAATCCTAGCTACTCAGGAGGCTGAGATCTGAGGATCCCAGTTCAAAGCCAGCCCAGGAGACCGTGAGACTCCTATCTCCAATAAACCATTGAGAAAACTAGAAGTGGCGCTGTAGCTCAAGTGGTAGAGCGCTAGCCTTAAGCTGAAGAGCTGAGGGACAGTGCCCAGGCCCAGAGTTCAAGCCCCACAACCAATAAAAAAAAAAAAAAAAGAAAAGTCAGCACACTAAAGGCATCAAGGCTCTGAGAAATAGGCATTAATTGAAGCCATCCCTCCAGCCTAGGTAGAGAGGTAGAATCTGGAGGGTCTTGTTTTTTGTTTTTTGGGTTTTTTTTTTTCCAGTCTTGGGGCTTGAACTCTGGCCTTGCGCCCTGTCACTGAGCTCTTCAGCTCAAGGCTAGCACTCTACCACTTGAGCCACAGCGCCACTTCCAGTTTTCTGGTGATTTATTGAAGAGTCTCATCTCATGGACTTTCCTGCCCAGGCTGGCTTTGAACCATACTCCTCAGATCTCAGCTGCCTAAGTAGCTAGGATTATAGGCATGAGCCACCGTTGGCTGGCTGAGTTTGGAGTTTTTCTTTTTTTGGGGGGGGGGCAGTTGTGGGGCTTGAACTCTGGGCCTGGGCACTGTCCCTCAGCTCTTCAGCTCAAGGCTAGTGCTCTACCACTTGAGCCACAGCACCACTTCCGCTTTTTTCTTTTTGCTTATGTGGTGCTGAGGAATCGAACCCAGGGCCTCAGGCATGTAAGGCAAGCACTCTACTGAGCCACCTTCCCAGCCCCGAGTTTGGAGTTTTTAAAGGGGCTTGGAGTGGAAGCAGTCCTCAAAATGGACTGTGGACTAGTAGAGAGACAGAGTCCTGGCCTGTCCCAGAGCTGTCCCTTCAATCCGTCAGATGATAACTGGGACCTGAAGAAAAGAAGGAAGGGTAAAGGCAAGGGCACTGGGCAAGCCTGAAATGGGACTCTCCTTTCTCCATCTCCCTCATGACCTGCCGAGCTGGAGTAGAGCAAGTTTCTGACCAAGCTTGACTCCTTTTCATCCCACTGGTAGTTGGGCCATGTGTCATCTCTAGATTTATGTGAGATGGCACATGCCTGTAATCCTAGCACTAATGGAGGCTGAGAGGCAAGAGGATTGAGAGTTTGAGGCCAGATTGTACTACATAGTGATACTCTGTCTCAAGAGAAAAAAAAGAAAGTCCTCAAGTTCCTAACAGGTCATTCCTGAAAGATCTGGTGCCATGTTCTCTTTAGCTATCCCCCTGGAGAAGGTGAGCAAGAAGTTGTGAGGGCCAGGAGAGCTGGAGGCTGGGCACAGCCTGAACCATGAGCAGTGGATCCAACACCACAACATTCTAATGGCTGGGAAAGAAGGCTATAGCCTCTTTAAAACTTCTAGACTCAATGCCAGGTGCTGGTGGCTCAAACCTGTAATCCTAGCTACTCAGGAGACCTTGACCTAAGCATCAAGGTTCAAAGCTAACGCTGGGCAGGAAAGTTTGTGAGACTCTTATCTTCAATTAACCACAAGAAAACTGTAAGTAGGGGCTGGGAAGGTGGCTCAGTGGTAGAGCGCTTGCCTTGCATGCCTGAGGCCCTGGGTTTGATTCCTCAGCACCACATAAGCAAAAAGAAAAAAGCCAGAAGTGGTGCTGTGGCTCAAGTGGTAGAGCACTGGCCTTGAGCTGAAGAGCTGAGGGACAGCGCCCAGGCCCAGAGTTCAGGCCCCACGACCAGACCCCCCCCAAAAAAAGAAAAAAGAAAACTGTAAGTGGCACTGTGGCTTAAAGTGGTAGAGCTCTAGCCTTGAGCAAAAGAGCTCAGGGACAGCATCCAGGCCCTAAGTTCAAGCCCATGACCACCAACAACAAAAAACAAAGAAAAAAAGCACCAAAAAACCTTCCAGACTCTCACACTGCTTTCTTAGGCCAGGTCCCATCTAACTATGGCTTCTTCCTCCTCCCGCAGGCCCAGGTCCCCCAGCCTTTCCCCAGACCTGAAATGGTATTGGTCTGGAGTGAGCCCCTAAGCAGGTGACTGTCAGATTCCACAAGGCTCTCTCTCCCCACACCTTTGAGCCTTCCTGGGCCTGGATTTCTCATTCCCTACATTAGCTTCCTAACCCAAACCCTCCCTAACTAGATTTGGGGAAACCATGTGGTACACCCCAAGAAGCTGTCCCCAAGGTCCTGAGTCTCAGGCCCTGAGTCTCTCTGTACCCTGCTCTGTGGGGTGCAAAGCCTGTGTGGGAGCAGCCAGGCCTTCCTCTGATGCCTTACTGCACCCCCATAGGGCCATTCCCCCTAATTCTGCATCCCTCTCTTGACTTCATGACTGTGGCTGCCCATGAGGGCGCCTGAAGCCCTCTGTCCTTGCCACGAAGCGTATGTTATTCTGGGCCACTTGTCCTATTGCAGGGCTCAGCTGGCTGTCCCCTGCTCCACAGCTCCTGGGTCTGACCCTGTGCCTAAGCCCACAGGGCCCAGGTGGATGAGGCCTATGAGCTCCCCACCCCTTCTGGTCAGTTAGAATGTTCAGAGACAGTCGCAGGGGACCCCCGTCTGTCCCTCTCCTGGAGCGCACAGTGTCACAGCCACACTGGCAGCTGTTCCTGTCACATTATGGTCAATGACAGCCCAGCGGCCTGCCCTCTCCTCCACCATCCTCCACACAGACAGGCCCACGTGCGTCCCCAGACGCCTGAATCACTGCTGACGGCTTGGGACCTGGCGGCCGTGGGCTCCTGGGGAGTCACTGGGGAGGGGGGGGTGGCAGCCACGTTGCCTCGCAGGGAACACCTGCGGACATAAATAGGCAGCGAGCGGAGGCAGAGGCACAGAGCCAGCTGAGCAGCGCCGTGCACAACCTCACCTGCTTGTGCCAGGATGCCCGACACCATGCTGCCCGTCTGCTTCCTCGGCCTGCTGGCCTTCACCTCGGCTTGCTACTTCCAGAACTGCCCACGGGGTGGCAAGAGGGCCATGTCTGACATGGAGCTGAGACAGGTACTTCTGCGGCTGCGCTCAGGGGGGCTTGGGTGCAACAGTGCCCTGGGACCCCAAGGCAGGGGCTAGGAAAGGGGGAAGTCATGAGGAGGCAGCTTTTAAGATGGGGCGTCTGGGAGGAGGAGGCACGGCTGGGCAGAAGGGCCATTGGGGTGGGGAGGAGGGACCAGGCTGCCAGACAGGCATCAAGGGCTCCAGACAGAGAGTGCAGGATGGTGAGAAATGCTTCCCCAGCAAGTGGGCTTGGAGCTGAATCAAGTGGAACTGGCTGGCAAGGCCTCGGCGGTGCCTGTGAAGTCCTCTCATCTGGACTGATGCAGTATCGATGGCTTTCTTATCCTACCCACTTCTAGCCACAGGAGTCCAAACTCACTCCCAGGAGACAGCCATTGTTCTGAGCTTGCCTGAGCAGGTTGTGCAAGCCAAGCCTCCTGTGCAGAAGTCCTGCTGGGTATCCAACCCAATTCTCTTAGGCTGTGTGGCCAGCTGGTGCCCAGTTGATCCTAGCGCTGGCAGAGCTGAAGTAAATCTGAATTTTTCTGTTCAGTCCTGCCCAGCACCTAAGCGGCTCACATGGAGTTGTTGAACAAGCCGGAGTGAGCAGATGGGCAGTCTCCTCAGCCTGATTTTCCTTGTATGGGGCTTCTCTTCAGAGGCCTGAGGCACCGGGGATCTATGCCTTCCCTCCTGGGCTAGTGCCTCTGCTACCAGCCTGGCGGGCCCTGATCCAGTGGGCAAAGAGATGAGCGAGGCCAGGAAACAAGGAGGCAGCGTCTGGATGTGTTTTGGATGAGGGTAGCAGCCCTCTGCAGGGTACAGGGTGCACAGGGAATTGGGCTAGGGTTCAAAGGAGTTCGGGACTAGAGAAAAGTGTATATGGAGCTCAGATGGGGTCAGACACTCAGGCAGAGAGGGGTGCCCATGTCCCAGAGCTGGAGAGAGGGTCTCTCGTGACGCAGCCCCCTGATAAAGGTGAGGGTAGTTATTATCGTTTGGCCTTCAGTCATGGGAAAACCAAGAAGCCCTGTGGCCCCATTGATCAGCCCCAACCAAGCCAGAACCCAGGAGCCCTGCCCATCCCCATCCCCTGCGCCCCCCGAGGGCGCCCCAGCGCCTCTCCCTGACCCCCGCCCTCCCCGCAGTGCCTGCCCTGCGGCCCCGGGGGCAAGGGCCGCTGCTTCGGGCCCAGCATCTGCTGCGGGGACGAGCTGGGCTGCTTCGTGGGCACGGCCGAGGCGCTGCGCTGCCAGGAGGAGAGCTACCTGCCGTCGCCCTGCCAGTCGGGCCAGAAGCCGTGCGGGAGCGGCGGCCGCTGCGCAGCCGCGGGCCTCTGCTGCAGCGACGGTGGGCCCGGGGGAGGGGGGAGAGGGGAGGGGAGGGGGAGGGAGAGAGGGGGAGGGCTCGAGGGCGGGGCGGGGGGGAGGCGGGAGGCCCCGGCGGAGCTGCGCCCACCCTGCGCCCCGCCCCGCGCTCACACCCTCCCTTCCGCAGAGAGCTGCGTGACGGACCCCGAGTGCCGCGAGGGTTTCCGCCGCCGCGCCCGCGCCAGCGACCGCAGCAACGCCACGCAGCTGGACGGCCCGGCCGGGGCGCTGCTACTGCGGCTGGTGCAGCTGGCTGGGGCGGCCGAGCCCGCCGAGCCCCCCAAGCCCGGGGCCTACTGAGCCCTCCCGCCCGCCCCCTCCCCCCCGCCCCTGCAGCTCGGAAATAAACCTTGGAAATGCACCACAGTGTCTGTCTCCCGTCTCTAGGGGTGGGGAGGGAGGGGCAGAAGGAAGGGGGGTGCGCGGATCCCCTACCCCGCCCTGGCCGGTTCCTGCATCCTAAGTTGTGGGCAGGAGCTGGGAAGGTGGCTCAGTGGTAGAGCGCTTGCCTTGTGTGCATGAAGCCCTGGGTTCGATTCCTCAGCACCACATGCACAGGAAAAAGCCAGAAGTGGCGCTGGAGTGCTAGCCTGGAGCAAAAGAAGCTCAGGGAGGGGCAGGCGCGGGTGGCTCGTGCCTGTAATCCTAGCTACTCAGGAGGCTGAGATCTGAGGATCACGGTTCAAAGCCAGCCTGGGCAGGAAAGACTGAGAGACTCTTATCTCCAATAAACCATTCAGAAAACTGGAAATGGTGCTGTGGCTCAAGTGAAGAGTCAGGAGCAGTGCCCAGGCCAGAGTTCAAGCTCCACGACAGACAAAAAAAAAAAAAAAAAATGCTCAGGGATAGTGCCCAGGCTCTGAGTTCAAGTCCCAGGACTGCCTTCCCCCCTATCCCCCGAAAAAAAGAGGTACTAAGTTGTGGTCAGATCCACCTCAGAGAAAGAACAGAATCGGTAAAGGAAACGATCTTCAGGCCAGCAAAGATGCGTCTAAAACCACACCTATACTCCTAAGCAGCTTAGAAGGGGCTGAAGCCAGCCTGGGCAGGAAAGTCTATGAGACTCTTCTCTTCAATAAACCAGCAGAAAAAAGCTGAAAGTGGAACTGTGGGGCAAGTGGTAGACTGAGCAAAAAGGAAAGGGACCTGAGTTCAAGCCCCAGAAAAAGAGAGGAAGTGGGGACTGAGGGAAGGAGAGAAGGAGAGAGAGGTAGAGGCGGAGGGAGGGAGGCAGGCAGCAGGCAGGCAGGAAGGAACCAGTGCAACCTGGGGGCAGGTCCATGACCAACAACAAGAAAGAACAAAAGCAGGGCGGGGGAAGGCATTGGTGCACAAGAGATAAAGCAGAAGAATGGAGAGAGATGACACAGAAGCTGAGAGAGCAGGGCAGGCTTCACTTCCACCCAAGGGACCTCACCCGGGTTCTCAGATTCCCAGGGCAAGGCCTATTCCATCCAAGGCTGTGCTTGTGTGTGGAGTGGGTTAGACACAGCACTGTGGACCTAGCAGAGGGTACACAGGCTATTTGTCCTGTGCCCCAACCATTAAGGCTCTCAGTGTGGGAGAGAGACTGTAGGGAGAATAGAGCTGCAAACTCATGTACAGCAGTGCATGCAGCCCACACACTCAGAAAAACAGACAAGACAGGCGAGGGGTTAGAACATTGCCTACCATGCACCTGGTCCTGGTTTCTCTAGCACTGAAAAAAAAAATTATTAGAGACATGTCCATGACTCTTGACCTCACCCACAGACAGACACCGTTAAAAAACCATAGGTGTGAGGGCTGGGAAGGCGGCTCAGTGGTAGAGCGCTTGCCTTGCATGCATGAGGCCCTGGGTTCGATTCCTCAGCACCACATAAGCAAAAAAAAATAAAGCTAGAAGTGGTGCTGTGGCTCAAGTGGTAGAGCGCTAGCCTTGAGCTGAAGAGCTGAGGGACAGCGCCCAGGCCCAGAGTTCAGGCCTCACGACTGGACCCAAAACAACAACAACAACAAAAACCCATAGGTGTGCCCAGAGAAACACACCACAGCGATGACAGATGAACACGAGGATCACTAGGTCCATATTCACCTCACACACGCACTGGCTCCCACACATAGGACCCTCTCATCCTTGAACACAGGGCAAAGATGTCTCCAATACTCGTCCCTGCCCTCCACCCCCTTCATCCCCTCATTTCCTTTCCCTCCAGCCCCTTGGCCCTCCTTGCTTCTCTCCCTCTGTCCCTGAAGCCCTGGGAACCTTCCATCTTCCATGGTGTCTTTTCCTTGGCTGTCTTGTTTCAAGACTTGGGTCCACAAGAGGCTCTATGGCTTTCTCTGCAGACACTGACGCCAGGAGAGAGCACAGGCAGAGAGATGGCCGGCTGACCCCCTCCACCCAGGCTAGGGGCCGAGCCTGTGACCCAAACTGCCCACCCAAGAGCCCAGGTGCTTTGGCCTCCTCAGTGCTCCCTTGGCTTTCACCTTTGACCCCTGCAGAGACCGCCTCTGCAGTGGCAGTGCAGAGAGGGACCAGGTGGATCGAGGTGAGGCAGGGCCGGGCAGGTGTCTCCCCACCATGGATTCCTGCATTCTCCACATGTGGCCTATTTAGGGTCTGCCCCTAAATGGGGTAGAGCTAGGTAGGGCCAGACCTAAAGGGAAGGCTATCAGTTCTTTGTGACAGAGGCAGGTAGAAGAGGGATGTGGTTTGGCTGCACCGGATCTAATCCCCAGCCTTGTGTCTGGGCTTGCACGTTTCACAATGAGATTCAGAGCCTCCTACTCCAAGGTAGAGCCTCTGCTACCTGTTTTCTTCCACCTGTCTCCAGATCAGTCAAGTTCTTCCTCTGAGATGTTGCTACATCTCCCTACCCCTACCCTGCTCTCTGTCTCTGGACATCTTTGTATTCCTTCCCTCCTCCCTGGAGTCAGCTACAGAGCACTCTCAGGAAGCTCTGCTCAGTCTGTGCTCAGCACAGACCAGCCCCTCCGGGGTGCAGGGGCTGCCACAGCTAGTGACACTCCAGAGCAAGGTATCCAAGCCTCTACACCTCCTGTTTCATAAAGTGGTGACATCAGCATCTTCTCTAAAATATTTCCTGATGAGCCAAGTGCCAGTAGCTCACACTTGTAATTCTAGCTATTCAGGAAGCTGAGATCTGACTACTGAGGCTCAAAACCAGCCCTGGCAGAAAAGTCCATGGGACTCTTACCTCCACAAAAGCCAGAAGTAGAGCTGTGGCTCAAATGGTATAGTGCTAACTAGCCTTGAGCAAAAAGAAGGTCAGGAGCCAAGTACTGATGGCTCATGCCTATAATCCTAGCTACTCAGGAGGCTGAGATCTGAGGATTGTGGTTTAAAGCTAGCCTGGGCAGAAAAGTCCCTGTGAGACTCTTACCTCCAATTAAGCACTCAAAAACCAGAAGTGGTGCTGTGGCTCAAGTGGTAGAGTATCCAGGCCCAGAGTTCAAGTCCCACAACTGACAAGAAGGAGAAGGAGAAGAAGAAGAAGGTGGTCAGGGACAGAACCGAGACCCTAAGTTCATGCCCCGGGACAAGCAAACACACACTGTTGAATCTCAACAAAGGCTGGTTAATGCCTTAAAAATATTAATAGCTTTTGTTTTATTAATTTCCACTATTTTTTTGTGCTAAGGATTGAACTCAGGGCCCTGTGCATGTGTCCCACCACTGAGCTACACTATCAACCTCCCCTTGCTATATTTTAGTGGTCTTGGGATCTGAACTCGGGGCCTTTTATTACTTATTAGGCAAGCAAACTACCACTTGAGTCATACCCTAGCCCTTTTTGCTTCAGTTATTTTCTGATTTGAGTCTTTGTAAATACCTGAGCCTGCTTGTACTGTGATCTTGCTATTTATGTTTCCTTCCGAGCTATTAGTTGATATACGCTCTCACTAACTTCTTGCTTGTGCTGGCCTCGAACTACAATCCTTCCAATCTGTCCCTTCTGAGTAGCTAGGATTACAGGCATGAGCTTCCTATGTCCAGCAAAAGTTGGCCCATATACATACTGTTTTTTCTGGTGATACCAAGATTTGAAATCAGAGCCTTGAGCCAAGTTTCTAGTTGTTTGTTTTTATTTTTATTTATTGTTTGGTCAGTTATGGGACTTGAACTCAGTCCCTGAGCTTTTTTGTTCAAGGCTAGTGCTCTACCTCTTTGAGCTACAGCTCTACTTCTGGCTATTTGGTGGTTAATTGGAGATAAGAGTCTCACGGATTTTTCTGCTTGGCCTAGCTTTGAACCTTGATCCTCAGATATGAGTAGCTAGGATTTACGGGCATGAGCCACTGGTGCCTGTCACTGGTTCAAAGCCACAAGACTCTTATCTCCAATTAACCACAAAAAAAAAGCAGGAAGTGGAGCTGTGGCTCAAAGTGGTAATATTAGCTTTAGGGAAGGAGTATCTCTAGTTTAAGGCTAGCCCTTGGTGGAACCCTGTCTCAAAAAGAAAAGAAAAGTGCCGGGCGCCAGGGCCTCATGCCAGAAAAGAAGTTAGATTGGAACTATGTGGAAGAGCACCAATTTTGAATGAAAAAGCCAAGTAAGAGTGTGAGGCTCTGGGTTGAAGCCCTAGTACCAGCTCTTAATTAGTTAATTAATATTCCACTGTCTCCCAATAACATCAAGCTGGGGAAATTTAACACATGGGCCTTTGGGGACATAAAAGATCCAAATTTAGCGGGGCGCTGGTGGCTCACGCCTGTAATCCTAGCTACTCAGGAGGCTGAGATCTGAAGATCACGGTTCAAAGCCAGCTGGGGCAGGAAAGTCTGTGAGACTCTTATCTCCAATAAACCACTAGAAAACTGGAAGCAACCCTGTGGCTTAAGCAGTAGAGCGCTGGCCTTGAGCTGAAGAGCGCAAGGACAGTGCCTAAACCCAGAGTTCAAGACCTATGACTGGCAAAAAAAAAAAAAAGAAAGAATCCAAATTTAAGCCCGGGGCCAGTGACTCATGCTTGTAATCCTAGCTACTTAGGAGGCTGAGATCTGAAGATCACGGTTCAAAGCCAGCCTGGCCAGGAAATTCTGTGACTCTTATCTCCAATTAACCACCAGAAAACTAGGCGTGGTGCTGTGGCTCAAAGTGGTAGAGCGGTAACCTTGAGCAGAAAAGATCAAGGACAGTGCCCAGGCCCTGAGTTCAAGACCCAGGAACATAAAAATAAAATCCACATTTAGCCAGGCATGCTGGCTCAAGCTTTTAATCCTGATTAGGAGGCAAAGTTTGGAGGATTGCAGTTCAAGGCCAGCCTGAACATAAAAGTTTGAGAGACTCAACATGG